AAACTAATCTCTATGAGTACTGTGAACTTACTCCATTTAAGTCAAAGTAAAATGTATTTAATTAACTCATTACCTTCAACACTGAGTTCAAAACTCTTTTCAAATGAGTAGTATTAACTTTCAGTCAATTTTGAGTTAACTCCACTCATTTCATTTGATAAAGTTGACTCTTAGGTTTTACAGTTTACATCACTCATTTTTATATATTTTTATTTTGAGAAAACTTACTTCAGTACAAATATCTTTCAGTGCAATTCGTAAATACGTTTTTTGTTCGGCATTCTATGTCATAAATCACAGCACAAAAATAAACAATGACCAAACTTTGATCTGTATTTTACTTTTTTTAAATTATATTATTATATTTTATGTAATTATGTAAAGTATTAATCATAAGGTAAGTGTTATAAGTCATAAATGGATGATATAAAATTTACCTTTTAAATATTGTAAGTTATGACAGGCCAAACTTCAACAATTGGCAGTTAACCAGCAATTTTACTTTTTGATATCTACAGTGCTCAGCATATATAATTACACCCCACACAAATCTTTCTTTTAAATTCCTATTTTTATTAAGAAGTTATACAATATTATATTTGTGCATATATATTAGATTAGTCAGTACTAAAGCCAAATCTGGAGCTTATCTAACTAAATACCTTACGATTACGGTCCAAAACTAGCACAGCCAAATTGATATGTTATAGAAAAACATGTAGGTTACAATTTAATTGTGCATTATTTTGCTTGAATTTAATTGTATTATCTTTTAATTTCTAAATATGTTTGGTGACGAAATTATTATTTTAATAAATTAATCTGTTCAGTAAATCTGTTTCAATGCATTAACATGCATTCCCTTTGTTCACTGAGAAATGGATAACAATATTCAACACTTTCAAAATGAGGTGTACTCAATTATGTTGAGCACTGTATAATAATAACTTTACTGTGCAAGTACTGATCAGCATATTTACTGTTAATACTTATAATACTACTATTTAATATATAAAAACTAACATTTTACTATGAAAAAAACATTTTTAAATGTGACTGAAATAGACTGAAATTAAATATTATCTAGAAATTAAATATTTATTTAGAAAGCTAGAAAAACAAGAGGACTAGAAAAGAGCTTTTAGTAAACTATGAATTTTGCTTGTACTTTAAATCTAGTAAAGACTTTTGTTTCAAGAATAGTATTAGCTATTCTTTAATTAAAGTGTATACTTAAATATTAACCACCACAGAAAAAAATATAAATTATTTGTAATGTTTTTAAAAATTTAAACAGGTTAATGGTGTAACTGCATTATTGTAGAAATGCTATTGATAAAGCTTCATTTGAGTTTTAATACTGCACATACATGGACTGTTCCTTTAGAGCTTTGGAAAAAGTGACTCTTCTGAGCGTTTGGGACTTGGAATGAGGACTCATGCATACATTACAAGTCAGAAAACAGTCCCATAATCACAAATAGACTTCAATATGTGCTGTGTGAATGCTCCTGCTGTTTTATCTAAGCAAATAAGCCTATTTGACCATTGCAAAAAGCCTTTAGTTAATGTATGAAACTTGTCCAGAAATACAACATATGTAGTCCTCCTATGACATATTTTTTCTTATGTATAACAACCTTTTTTTCTATCTGGGTCACAATCAAACGGTAAACATCATGACTAATTCATGGACACATGAGCTAATTAAAGTCTTTCGCTTGGCAATGACGCCAGAGAGGCGATGATATATGTATTTAATATATTGTTTAATAAAACGGACCATTAAAACACCAACAGTTCCATGGTGTTGAGGTAAAAAAGAATGGAACCTACAAACAAGTGTAGGTTTGAAAAACTCAGGAGAGGCTCTTACCTGTTTAAAGGATGCTTAACTGTATATATATATATATATATATATATATATATATATATATATATATATATATATATATATATATATATATATATATATATATATATATATATATATATGCAGCAAATGGGTTATGTAAAGGTATTTGGCCCTCCGGCTGCAATATAAGAGTGTTTGCTGAGATAGATAATGGTTATATTTAACTCTCATATGGATAAATATATCTATATGGTGTTCCAATAAAGAAGCAGACTCTGGCTGAACTATTATTAGCCTCCGCCTCAGACCCAGTTCCACTGAGAAACAGGACTCAAGCAGGGCTCAAATCCAACATTTATTAGACACACGGAGGACTGTTTTATCACACTCGCTGCTGTCTTTATTATGAACTCTGAGGGAATTTATGGGTAATATAACTGCTACACTTCCAGATCTGGTTTATGGAGTGTTACATTTATTTTTAATGTGATTTGATGTGATAAAAAGCGATCGTGTTTAATGCTTTTTTTGGCCAAACAGTAAAGAAAAAGTGGATATGTGGCCTGGTTTCTAGATTGCAAGCTTTCAAATTTCCTGAATGTATTGTCTCCTGTCACTATCCGTATATGTTTACAACTAGAATTTAGAAACAGCCTGCATGTCTTTTAATCCCTTGATTTACATTTCACTCAATTGCGGCCAATTAAACATGCCAGGTTAGTCTTGTTTGTGTTTCTCTGTTTTTTCTGCATGGTAAAGCAGCTCTATTGATTTCTTTTTCTCTACCTTTAGTAAGATAAATGGTGCACATTCTTCAGTTCAATTATATTGTATGAATTAACAGCTCTCACAGAGAGATATACATTACCTGACAAAAGTCTTGTCGCCTATCCAACTTTTATGAACAACAAATAATAACTTGGCTTCTAGTTGATCATTTGATATCAGAAGTGGCTTACATGAAAGACAAAGGCCTCTAGATTATTTTACCAAAACAAAATATGCGCTATATAAGCGCTATCCTGAAGAATTTACCCTCTCCTGTGGTTTTTAATGTAATGGGCAGCACAAATGTCTTGATACCTTAGGGTGTTGATGTTGCCACCCACTCTGCAGATCTCTTGCATGCCCCCATACTGAATGAACCCCAAACTATAATTTGTCCTTCACCAAACTTGACTGATTTCTATGAGAAACTTGGGTCCATGCGGGTTCCAATAGGTCTTCTGCAGTATTTGTGATGATTGGGATTCAGTTCAACAGATGATTCATCTGAAGAATCTACCTTCTGCCACTTTTCCAAATGAGCAACTAGAAGTCAAGTTATTATTTGTTGCTCTTACAACTGGGATTGAAGAAAAGACTTTTGTCAGGTAGTCTATTGGTTATCACACTATCTTTGCATTGAAACAATGATTATCACACTATTTTTGCACGTTCTTTGCATACTCAAGTTCATTATTTCAAATGTTATGTGCAGTAAACACGCAGACATCGTGAGTAGCATGGTTGTTTCCTACTTGCTTTTTCCAAGCATGAACATTTGGATTATATGGAATATATTTACTAATAGCGATATACTAATTACTTGGCAGTGGAAACGCAAGGCTGATCAGGTTACCTGTACTGAAATCGCCCAGTGAAAATGAGTCAAGTCAAGTTGAGCTTTATTGTCATCCCACCACATGTGGACATACAGTTGAACGAAATGTTGTGTCTCACCACAGTCCTACATACATAAACAATCATAAACATGAACACAACACTGGATATGGGGTGACACAGTGGCTCAGTGATTAGCACTGTCGCCTCACAACAAAATGTTCGCTGGTTAAAGTCTCGGCTGGGCCAGTTGGCATTTCTGTGTGGAGTTTGCATGTTCTCCCAGTGTTCGTGTGGGTTTCCTCCTGGTGCTCCGGTTTCCCCCACAGTCCAAAAACATGCGCTATAAGTAAATTGAATAAACTAACTTGGCCGTTATGTATGTGTGTCCATGTATGAGTATATGAGTGTTTCCCATTGATGGGTTGCAGCTGAAAGGGCATCTGCTGTGTAAAATATTTGCTGAAAAAGTTGGTGGTTTGTTCTCTGTGGCGACCTCTGATGAATAAAGGGACTAAGCCGAAGGAAAGTGAATGAATGAACACTGTATGTAAGAGCTATTTTAAACCTATATATAATAAGCATATCCAGGCATTAATCTTACCATACTAACTACTGTCTCTACATATATTATGAATTAGATCTGCCTCTCCATATAGACCAGAGGTGTCAAAACTCAGTCCTGGAGGGCCGGTGTTCTGCATATTCTAGTTCTAACCCCAATTAAACACATCTGAACCAGCTAATCAAGCTCTCTCTAGGTATACTAGAAACTTCCAGGGAGGTGTGTTGAAGGAAGTTGGAGCTAAACTATGCAGGACACCGGCCCTTCAGAACTGAGTTTGGACACCCCTGATATAGACCATCGATGCCAGATCAACTAAACCCTAAAGTATAATGTAAGATTTCTGTAACCGTGCATAAAATATATTCTCAGTTCACAACTTACCTGTCCAGTTAGTCCAGTTGTAACCTATATTACTTTCCTCCTTTGGTGGAACATTAATGATGATATTTTGTAAGATTTTTAGAATGAAACTATTCCTCTGTGAATCAGTTGCCATTGATTTCCACTGGATGATCAGAAAATTCAATATCAGTGTGAACCAAAACAATATTCGAGAATTTCTTCTTTTGTGTCTCCTTAGAAAATAATGCCAATCAAGTAATGCCATCTTCTCCTATGTCCGAAGGTCAAGCAGATAATCACTCACATTCTGTAGTACAGTAGTACTCATTTGGAATTGTTAATTAAAGTAATGAAATAACAATGACTAAAAAAGAAATACTGATATGCTCCGATATAAAAACAGAAAGGGTTTGTCACTATATGTAGTTTGTGAGTGTATTTATAACCTGCTTTAGAGAGCTGTATTCATATTATCCCATGAGTTCAATCTTCTTCCAGCTGTGCTCATACTGTGTGGAGCAGGTTTGAATGCTGTATCCTATTCATGTGGGGCCTGAACAGTTTTGCTTACACATGCGGTCTGAGGCAAATCAGCAGAAAGTGAATGAGAATAGTAGACAGCTTTTCACTCACCCGTTTGCGCAGGTTGTACGTAAGCAGGAGGTTTCTGGAGAAGTGGTTGGAGAAGGCCGTGTAGAACTCCAGGACTTTCTGAAGCGCGTCCCGCTTGATGACGTGCAGGTCACAGTATGTTAGCGCTCTCACGTTAGCACACGCCTGAGCTAGTGTTACTTCTTTCCAGAACACATCGCCAAACACATCACCTTTACCTGTGGAGATACACAGAAGCATGATTACACACACTGACAGGCATGATAGGTACATTAATGGAGGATCTTGACAGGCAAAAAACATTTAAACAAACAATCTGCCCAAAGATAAAGATTTAGTCTCCTCCTTTCAGCCTCTTTTCTTTCTCTTTTTCTTTACTCCTTTACTTTTGTAAATAAGTTATGAAGTTATATCCAAACACACGTCCTATTCTTATGCCCCATATAGTGACGCATACATCTCCAAAACCTGACAGGTGGACAAACCTAAACTTGTTTTTATTAAAACAAATATAAATATGCATATAATAAATGTATACTGCTAAAAATAACATTATACAAATGCAAATTGTCATGAATGATCTGAAAAAAAAGGCATGGAGGTAGTGGTTTTTATATTGATGTAGAAAATAATAATTTTAATCCTTTAATTGTTTTCATATCTAAAGAGATTTGTGTATTGCTGTACATTGTGTGTGTATTAAGCAATGTGTGAGCGTTTAAACTCACATAGCCACATAACTAACGTACTATGCGCTTGACTTTAGACCTGTTTTTAGATAGTCAATGGCGCAGTCTATTTCAGTTCTTCAAAATAGCAACGACCCAACAATGCGTCTTAACACACCTCCTTTTTAGACCAGCACACCCATGAGTCCACAAAGTGCTGCAAATGGATTTGCTACTTGAACAGTGTGGTGCAAAAAGTGATAATTAGTGTTGTGCTGGTCTGAAAATAGCAACAAATCACGCCAAACACATCCTGCGCCTTATTGCGCCGGGTGTATGATAGGGCCCTTAGAGTTAAACAGTTTATTTAAGCAATTTTGAACCCTTCAGCCGATTTCTTGTTCTGACAGGATTACTTTTAGCTTAGCTTAGCATAATGAATTGAATCGGGTTGCTATTTAAAGCTAGAGTATTCTGTATCTTGTAATAGAATTTTCCTAATATAAAAAAAATATTTTCTAGGCCAATGTTGCTTGGACCTATACTCTCATTCTGGCGTAATAGTCAAGAGACTTTACTCTTGTTCAGTACTATGCTTGGACCAGTTGGAGTGATATTACACAGTGCATGAGAATGGGCTGTATTCAAAGGCTTTTCAAAAGAAAATAAAAAAATGCAGAGCATTTCTTTAGTAATCTAAAAACTTTTTCAAATAGACACTGTCTTTAAAAATAAAACACATATTTGAAATCTAGACAACTATGATGATGTCTAGAAAAAATGATTATGTAGTCCAGGCGTAATGCTGTGGATAATCTGAATCAATGGTAACTAAAAATTCAATATTGCTATTCCTTATGTTATACAGCGCTTCACTTTTTCCACGTTTTTTTTATGTTATGGTATTAGCCTGGTGTTGAGTGGTGCCTGGTATTCTCCAAACATAACGCCTGGCATTCACTTCATAGAGTTTAATTTTAGTTTCATCAGACCAGAGCATTTTGTTTCTAATGGTTTGAGATTCCTACAGATGCCTTTTGGCAAATTCCAGGTGGAGAGTGGCTTCCGTCTGGCCACTCTACCATACAGGCCTGATTGGTGGATTGCTGCACAGATTGTTGTCCTTCTGTAAGGTTCTCCTCTCTCCACAGAAGAACACTGGAGCTCAGACAGAGTGATTATCGGGTTATTGATCACCTCCCTAACTAAGGCCCTATTCCCCTGATCACTCAGCTTAGATGGCCGGCCAGCTCTAGGAAGAGTTGTTGGTGGTTGAAAACATCTTCCACTTACGGTTGATGGAGATCACTGCTCATGGGAACTTTCAGTGCAGCAGAAATTTTTCTGTAATCTTCCCCAACCCTGTGCCTTGAGACAATCCTGTCTCAGAGGTCTACAGACAATTCCTTTGCCTTTAGGCTTGGTTTGTGCTTTGACATGCACTGTCAACCCTGGAACCCTATTTAGACAGGTGTATGCCTTTTCAAATCATGTCCAATTAACTGAATTTACCACAGGTGAACTCTAATTAAGCTGCTGAAACATCTCAAGAATGATCAGTAGAAACAGAATGTACCTGAGATCAATTGAAAGCTTCATGGCAAAGGCTGTGAATACTTATGTACATGTAACTTTTTATTTTTTGTATTTTTTTTAAAAACAATTTTGCAACAATTTTAATTTTAAGTTATAAATTTATTGTATTGTGTGTATGTATTTTGAGGAATTTAATCGATTTTGGAATAAGGCTGTAACATAAAAAAGTGGAAAAAGTGAAGTGCAATGAATACTTTCCAGATGCACTGTATTACTTAACAATTATAACATGTCTTTTTAAAACGATGACAAGGGAGTGTTAGGGAACACTAGACATTTTCTAAAACTAAAATTAGAAAATTATATCATTACTCCCAATTTCAAAGTTTTAAGTTATTTATAGAATAATCTGCTAATTAATTGTTATTTTAAATAATAAATTTCTTTCTAACTTACTTAAAATAAACTGTAAATGATGTTTTGTCTGTCGTCCTCCTATTTTATCTCAGATTACAGTAGACATATCATGTGCACTGATTTCTTCAGTGTGAAATGTTACTAGTGTAAAACTCCACCAGTAACACGTCAGATCAGAAACAATTGAAAGCATTGGTAAACTCTTATTCACAAACATGTTGTAGCAAGACCGCATTCTTCTACACAAACGTGGGATTTTATAATTGGTCAATAGTAATACACTTAGGATATAGCACTGCCCATCATGAGGAGAAATGATGATGAAACATTTTCTCAATCCTTCACTGAACTGAACAAATGCTCAAAAGTCTTGTCTATCCATCTCTTAATGCTCATTTCTAAGATAAGCTGGGGTTACAGAGCCAAAATGTCCACTCAGATAAATTATTTACGCTTCTGTGTCGTAGTAAATGTTCTAGAATACAGATTCCTTCCTACAGGCAGAGAGGAGGAGAGATTTATCTCTCTAGAGATCTAGTGTCACGTTTGGCTATAAGACATGAAAAATCAGTCGTGGTTGCCAATTTTGATGCATTTTAATAAAAGTTTTAACAACTAATATTAAAAAGAAATGTTTCTTTAGCAGAAAATAAGCATACTAGAATGATTTTTGACAGATCATAAGACAATGAAAATTCAGCTGTGCCATCAGAGGAAAAGTTACGTTTAAAAAATACATAAATAAATGCAATGATTTTAATTTTTGCTTCATAATATTCATTTTTCATATTTTTCATTTTTTATTTATCAGGGGTCGCCACAGAGGAATGAACCACCAATTACTCTGGCATATGTTTTATGCAGTGGATGCACTTCCAGCCACAAACCAGCACTGAGAATCACCCATACACTCTCTCATTTACAAACACACACTCCTACACTATGGCCAGTTTTGTTTTAATTCACCTATACCGCATGTCTTTGGACAGTTGGGACAACTGGAGCACCCGGAGAACTCCACACATGTTTAATGAGAAATAAACGGCAGCAATAAGGGTGATGTTACCGCGCTCTTGACTGTGCTTTTAAGTGAAAGTGAAGAGAGAATCAGTAATGTGTGCAGTGGTGTCATTACAGATCTGCAGGTTACAGCATCCTATTGAGTATTCAGAGACTCGCACATTGACCTCTGACACAAAAGTGGTTAAATCAATAAACCTTTTTTCTGGCTTTATTGTGTGTGTGTGTGTGTGTGTGTGTGTGTGTGTGTGTGTGTGCGTGCGTGCGTGCGTGCGTGCGTGCGTGCGCGCGTGCGTGTGTGTGTGTACATTTAAGAAGCAAAAGAGAAAATTTTGGCCTTCCAGGCTGATCCTAAATCAGTTTAACAGCTGTGGCAGAGAGCCAAATTTAGCAAAGCATCGTTAGTTTGTCAACAGAGAAAAATATAGCAATTAGATGCTCAGCTCTATGGCTTCATGAGGCGAAGTAGCCTAATTCCATGCTGTGGGACTAACAGACAGATGTTGGAAATGACAGATGCTGCATCTACAAGTCACTTGTCTGACCTCAGATCAGTGTTTGCCTTTTTATTCTTTTATTCCACTCTAAACTAAGAAAATTATGAAGTGATAGCAACTTTTTGCAGTTTTGTCCAGCATGACCAAAACACACTCTTGAAGACCACATATACTCTTTAAGATTAAGTTTCCAAAAATGATAAAACATTCTTTTAAGAACCATGCTTTATCGCTTAAGTGTTACAATAAGGTTCCATTAGTTAAAAGCCCAATTTTCCGGAAATGGATCATGTGTGAACATGCCCTTTTTGAAAATAGTGGCAATTTTCCGGAAAGAGAAGTTGTAACATCAGTAATTTGCCGGAATGCTGCTTTGTCTAAAAACAGAAGGAAAATTGCTGGAATGAGTGCGTTCACGTTTTAAACTCGCTGACGTGAGACGTCTATTCCAGCCAATCACAACATTCAGACACATTCACATCCGCGCTGTTTATGAAAATAAAAGCCTTTGAATACTTTTCCAGACACATTTAGCTGCTAGATGTTATTAAGATAATGTTTCTATATCCCTTCTTCATGTAAATTGTGGAAAAAACCATTGACAAAATGCTTATGATTATCCGCTGTTTGTTTACCTTCAGGCTCTACTTCAGTTGCTTGATGCATATGCACGTGAAGCAGCCGGTGAGTGCCAGCACACATACATATTATGTAACATTACCATCAACAAAAGCCCAACCCCTTTTATGTTTACAAATACAAGTGCAGCCGTTTAGAGCTCATTTCTGGTTAATGATGTCAGAATTTACCGATATTTTAGAATGGATGTGTGAATGGTCTTTCCACAAAAGTTCCAGAACGTTCTTGCCTGTGGGAACAGCACTTTTTTGAATTTACCGGTGAAGTTGGTTCGGTAATTTTCCAGATATTTACCTATATCGCTGTGTGAAAGGGGCTAAAGTTAGTTAATAAATTCACTAACATGAACAATCAATGAACAATTAATTTATTACAGTGTTTATTCATCTTTGTTAAAATTAGTTAATAAACATAAAGACAGTCATAAGCCTTTTTTACATAGTGATACAGGTAAATATAAAAAATAATTCCAGAGCAACTTAACTTACAAAAGCGCTGTTCATTTTTTTCTGAAAAAAGCATTCACACATCCATTTCAAAATGTCGGTACATTCTGACATCATTACCAGAAATGACCTCTAAACAGCTGCGCTTGTGTTTGTACACATCGAAGGATCGGGCTTTTGTTAATGGTTTCACTTTTATTTAAAGCTTTAAAATTCATGTTTTGTGCCAGAGACATCCAACAGCAGAAGCATTAACCACAGCTAAATGTTTACATTTACAAATGTAACCCATTCTGTAGATGGATAAGTAGTGTGAACATCTTCGATGTAAACATGGAGGAACACTTTCACATGTCGAGAAGATGTACATAATATGTCTATGTGCCGTGTGCTTTTTTTTAATATTTGTCATTAATGTTTATTCTGCCACGCAAATATTGAAATCACCAATGTTTAGAATGACACTGACAATAAGAATATTTATTTGGTATGGACATGTTTTGTAGCAGTGAAAAAGTGACAAATCTGCCAATCTGCAAACGTGAATAGTTTAAAGGGTCACCAGTTAAACCGTAACACCGGAGAACTCCTTCATGTGCAAGTGTGTCATGCAGCTGAAGCAGAGCTTGAGAGTAAATTAACAGCGGTTTATCATAAGCATTATATCCATATTTTTTAAACAGTTGGCATTAAGAAGGAACACAGAAACGTTATCTGACTAACATGTAGCCTCTAACTGTGTCTGGAAGAATAATTGAAGACTTTTATTTTCATAAACAGCACAGATGTGAATGTGTCTAAACGTTCTGATTGGAGTAGACATCTCATGTCAGCGCGTTCTAAACTTAAACACGCTTTTTCTGGCAATTTTCCTTCTGCGTTCAGACAGAGCACATTGCCAGTAATTTTACAACTTCTCTTTCCAGAACAGATTTACTGGTATTTTTAAAAAGGGCCTGTTCACACATACAGACCTTTACAGACAATTGCCCATAATTTTCCAGAAAGGTCTGTATGTGTAAAAGGGGCTATCGATAATTTATTAACTCACAGAGCAAACTCTAAACCAATTTTAACAAGCACAACATTGGATTTTAATAAATTATGATTAATAAATGCTGTAAAGGTAGTGTTCATTGTTATCATAGAAGCTTTTTGTAAAGTGTGACCATTTTTTTCTTAGAATTACTAAGTATGAATTGCATTTTGTTAATCTAAATATCTTTTAGTATAAAGTGCAATTCAAAGATTCCGTGAGTAAGTGGAGCCACTATGAAGAACAATTACTTTTAAAGAACCTTCAAAATTATGAATGGCTGTAGAAATTACACTATACAAAATTAATTAACTTGTTTTTTATTACTTTTTAGTGGAATAGACTTTCACGGTTCATTTATTGTGTGAAAAGAAGAAGTGTTTTTGAACTGAAGTCTACATTAAGCAGTCTGGAATGCTTCCAAGTGAATTATTGGCAGAAAAGTATGAACTGATACTTAGAGAGAATCCTTAAACACGCTTTAGTTGAATAACCTTTCAGATATCTCTTTATTGTTACTTTTTATCATCAGCTTAGGCCATATTTTGGATTTTAAAACATGCATTATGCTCACAGTCTGAACTTTTTCTCTTCCTTTTATTTTATTAATGTTCTCTGAATGTCTTACGCACAGAAAAAGGGAAAGACTTGGACATCTTGATCAAAGAGGGTTCAGAATATTAGAAGAAACAAAAGAGATGTACAGGACACTATAGAGGAGTGGGTTTGACACTCAGGATATATGATCACATAGAAGCTCTGTGGAGGGAAATAATCCTCCCGTAGGGGACTAAACCCAAGACAGAGGGATGTCGGTGTCATTAAGTAGAGGAGAAGATCAAGCAGGCTTATGGCGTTAAAAAAATAGAAATTATCAAAACGGAGTAGTCAAAGGTCATGATGCGTAAACTAAGACTAAAATCTTGAAAATACAGAGAAGAAAACTGTGGCCTTGCTAATCTAGTCTGATTTGCTCTTACCCAGAATGGCGACCACCTCATCATCTTGAATGACCTCTAGTGACCCTGACACCACAAAACAGAGGCTGTCCACACTTTCGCCCGCATGGTAGATAAGATCCCCCGGTGCGCAGTGGATGGTCTGAAACTCCATGGCCAGAGCCCGCAAACACCCGTCACTGGCCAATCGAAAAGCAGGATGTTCCTTGAAGACCTTCCTGTTCAGGTGCACGCAGATATCAGCTCGCATGTCTTTGGGACAGATCTGCAGAACCTGTTAAAAGAGAGATGTTACAGATTTGTGGTTATTTTGATACACCCTTTCTATTTAAAACACCTAGGCTCATTTTGAAGACGTACCACCATATACATTTCTGGATAGAGCAAAATACATCCCAGGAGCTACGTTTTTTTGCAGTTTTTGTTTTCTTGAATCTGCCAGAGGCTGCTACGTATACATTTTCAGATCACTAATTTCTCTCGTGAGTGCCATTCGCACCTGCTGTTCTCACGTAAATCCACCATAGGCCACTGTTGACTAACTGACTGACCAACCGACCAATCCCCCCACACTCCCCCTTCCATAAACCCAACCAATAGTATTTTAAAAAGCACCATTTGATCTGCCCACCCCCTTCTCTAAACCCAACCGCAGTGTTTTAAAAAGCAATCCATACAGAGGTAAGCGGTCAGTTGGTAAGCTAGAAAAGGAACAGCAACATACCACCCTTAAGCGTTCATTTTAAAGACAAAATGCAGCCATACGTTGCTCTGGCTGCAAAATTCGCGATCTCCAGAACTGTATATAGGGCTAAGTTTTCACAATGAGCCTATATTGATTTTAAAGGCGCAATATGTACGATTTTTAAAAAAAATTGAAAACAATGTTCAAATCCAGAAAAAAATTTCATTTTAAATAGTGACATAGACCATTTCATGTGTAAATCATGGATTTCCAGTTTTGGTTTTATAGAAAACAGGAAAAAAAAACAAAGATGCACGTCTAGAAGAACTGGACTAATAAAAGCTCCGCTGCTTTTGGCCCGCATAGCATCTAGTATAGTATATACTGTATATGTCTAGTATAGCGTCATAGTTTAATTTCACTTTAACAGCTTTCAGCCTTTGTTTCATACAACCATGATAATACGTTTTGAATACTTCAGCTTATCCGTGAACATGATTTCTGCAGGTGAACTGTAGGATGTAATGAATACGGCAACTCCCGTGATTCTACACTGAGGTGCTGTGTCATCAAACTATGACTTTAATGTGAGTACATGCCCTATAATGGCAAAAATTACATACTGTGTCTGTAATCCTTTATCTGCTGAGGAACCATATATGGTAACTATGTTTACTTTGTTAACAATATAAGTCATATAGATATAATTACAAAATTTGAGTGTCCTATAGAGGGTTAAAGGTCATGTCTTCATAAAATTGTTCTAGAATATTCAAAATAAAATGAATGGAAATACAAGACTGCACGAAAGTCTTAGGCCACCACAAGCAAACTTTTAATGACCGTCCATTTTTCTGTTCTGGTCCCTTCATTAAAAGAAAGTAGGGAAAATATGTAAACAACGTTTTAAAAACACAACTGTCAGAACCAAAAGGCTTATTCTAGCAAAAGTCAGTATTTAGTGTAAATACCTCTGGCACCAAGATCATCTGAGATATGAGACTGTCCTAAAGATTACCCGGCTTCTTTCAGCACTACCCAATTTTTGTCTTTTAATTTAGATATCTTTAAAATACGTCTAATATTTGCTAATACTCATTCATTCATTCATAACTACTAAAGTATAGTTTTGGGCTATTCTTACAGAAGACATCTATTTGATTTTTCATTGAAAGTCCAAACTTTTGATTTTTTTAACCAAGCTGTCTATTTTTAGACGTCTATTAGAAGTCTGTAGGGTATATGCAGAATCTTGCAGAAGATTTTTTGATTTTCAGTAACCTGGGTCAAGTGCTTCCAGTGAACTGTATGCAGTTACTAAATCGACACATTTAAGATCTGTTTTCTTGAAAAAATCAACAATCTCCACTGTCTGATAGATATCCGATATAAAGTGGGTCTCAAAATGTGCAAGAAGCACTGCATCAAACTACATTTTTCAGCACCATGTGATGTATTTTCAATGGAATTTCTGTGACTGACAGTGTGTGTGTGTAGATGGCTTTTCATCTTGTTTTACGCTTGAAAAACTAAATGAATGCAGAAGTCTATTCAACTGGTTGTATTTTAATTACATTACAACATCGGTGATGTTAAAGGAATTGTAAAAAATTTTTAAAAGTCACATTAACCGTTCACCGAAAGTTTATCGGTATAGGAAGAAACACTAGTTGTGCAGATACCCTATTAGATTTCATTTAAATACAAAAAAAGCTTGCTGGGGTAATCCCATACCACCTGCCTCTGCAATATTAACTTTTGGACTCAATGTTTGGAAAACAATGAAAAACATGCTCTGAAACGTTTACACGGTACTTTATTTAGTCTAGACCTGCTGCAGGATTTATGTATTCATGCAATTGCAGCACATCCTATGTGGTTACAATCTATGTCTATTGGCTGCATTGCTATTTTTCCTCTCAAACCTTCATCTTCCTCATATCAAAATCTGGGTATCTGTTGGCAAATATCAAGTTGTACTTGTTTCTCCAAAACCCTTCAACAGCTTCACCTACAGTATCTAGACCTGCTATAAAATGTGTGCATGTCTGTTCATAGCAGATCTACACCTTAAGTTTTTGTTGTGAGGACAAATTGTCATTCACATGAGATCACAGCAATAGCAAAATAACAATGATCCGATCAATTCCCTATGGACAAAAATCAAGGCCCAATCCCAATTCTACCCCTTAGCCCTTCCCTACCCCTTATTTTGCACGTTTACGTGAAGGGGTAGGGGTGTTCTAATTCTCTTTAGCTTGAAGGTGTAGAGCTAAGGGGATAAGCTAGTTAGCCCTTGAAACAGAGATTTTTAGTTTTTATTTTTAAAGTCTAGTGGCTGAGAATGAGCTTTTTACAGTGTCTGCTCTAATGTTAATATTGTTTTTGCGTGTTTACATAGATGAATATGGCCCCTGTGTAAATACACAGTACAGCTGCAATCTGTACTGTGTTATGTTAACGTTATGTTAACGTTATATATGCCTCAGTGATTTCCTGAGGATAAATACCAAAAAAATATTGCAACTGGAATAACTACATCAGTTACTGTCATCGATTTCATATAAAGTAAGAGATCGCAAGGACATATCCAATAATATATGATGATACAATACATACAATAATATATACAGTGGCACGCTCAAATGGTACAATAATATATACAGTGGCATACTAATTAAATCAAGCTGTACAGTATTTACAGAACACTTTTCAAGTATCACAGTGTACATTGCAGGATTTAAAATTGGGTTTAAATTCAAGACTTAATAAATGATTTTTAGCAGTGGACGCACTACGGTAACAGACCAGACAATTACATGTTTGAATGGTGTACTAATAGAAAAAGTTAGCTCCTACAAATACCTAGCATTTGGATTGACGAGAGATTCACCTTTGAAATAAACATTGACAAGTTATTGAAAAAGCTTAGGCCAAAATTAGGTTTCTTAGACAGCCAAAAAAAAGTTCTCACAAGGCCCGTAAGAAATTAGTAGAGAGTACATTTTTGTCTATAACTTATTATGGTGATCATCTTTATATGCATGCAGCCACTACTCTACTCTGAAAACTAGATATTGTTTATCATGCAGTAATACGCTTTGTCACAGGTGCAGACTCTCGGACGCATCACTGTATTTTGCATGATTCCTTAGACTGGTTATCTTTATATCAAGGGAGAAAATTATATTTGTACTTATTTACTTTAAAGGCTCTCTTAGATAAACTACCATCCTATCTTTCTAATTTGCTAACATTTCTCATAAATAACCAACACACTAGATTTAGTTCCTGTATAGTTTAACAGCCCCAAGGGTATTGTCAGAACTTGGCAAACGTGCTTTTTCCTTTTATGCTCCTAGGGCTTGGAATGACCTGCAAAATCAGCTTAATCTAGACACACTTCCGACTCTGAGCACTTTTAAACATCTTCTGTACAACCAGGTCTCACTGGAAGCAGTCACATCACTGTCTCAATGTAATCTCCTGGCTAAATAAAGGAAATAATAATAAATAATCTGATGATGTGCAGGTGTTGTAGTGATGTGCCCATTTCTTAGGGGTAAATTTTGAAGCCCTTCCCTTTCACACTCTGTTTCAAGGGCCAAGAGGAAGGGGTACAACAGTTGAAGAGGAAGGGGTTGAACAGTTCTTTGTAGTGAATCCGTTGCTTGATTACCAAAAAATGTCTTATATTTTTTTTATTTTTCAAGCCAGGGGGCATCATTAAATACATTTTTAAGAGCTTATCAGGAAAAAAGAATGAATTAATTGTAATAAGTCAGCTCATGAAACTGACAGCGCTAATCATATTTCTTTCCCTCTATTAAAAAAAATAAATGCTTGTTTACTGTTATGCCAATGAAGCATGCTAGAAGGCTGACACAGACAGACAGAGGTAAAAGACAAACATGCCGGTGTATATGTGTGCATCTGAGCGTGTTAGCGTGTGACATATCCCCGAGCTGCCATTCCCAGCAGCCCCTCACTTTTCCAGAGCATCTCCCTTTCTGCATGTGGTTGTCACCGAGACATGGAGACATGGCTCTGGGGAGAACAGTGTGAGTCTGTGTGTGATGAGACGGCTAAATCACCAAACAGAGGAGACAGCTGGAGCATTCTGACAATGTCCGCCCAACGGGGACTTCAAATCCAGAGAGTCATGCTGTTCCCCCCCTGTGGTTAGAGTCTAAACGACAGGACGAGTCTAAACACACTGCTTGAGGATGCTTCTCGCTAAAGAATCACACCAATGTTTAAAAATACTTAGCCAGAAACACTCACACACACACACATAAAACCATAGGACAGGCTTCACCTTTTCCGTATCGATGCCATGGGACATTGACCAGGTGGAGGCAATGTAATCCATAACCCTCTCGCTCAGGCCTTTGGGCACCTGGTAGAGTTTGAGGAAATCCCGCACGCTGTTCAGCATCTCATGATAGCGGTTGGTGTTGGCGTACATTTGCTGGAAGATTGTCGTCACGTTACCAAAGATGGTGGCATATAGGAGAGCTGTAGGAGAAAGTAACAGGAGTTCACTTTTTGGGACTAAATGATAATACAAGCATGTAATTAAAAAAGAACTAATAAAAAGATGTCTCTCGTTATTCGCAAGTTTTACGTTCTAAAGACAACCCGCAATAGGCGAAATCCACGAAGAATTCTGCTTTATTTCTTACTACTATTATAGATGTTTTAAGAACACTCCTCACTACACACTTTATACACTTTTCTCAGACAGACGTTAACATTTTTAATGTTAATCTCAAAGTTCAAAATCATTTGATCCTACAATCCTACAGCCATGCAATTTCTACCTTTCTTAAGCATGTCCAAAAGTTCAACTTTTTGTGCTATGGTTATCATCCTCTGCTTTTTGGGTGCTACTGCAGGTGCCTTTGACGGTGCAGAGCGTTTTATCGACATTGTGGGGAACAATCACACAGCTAGGAATTGAAGATTTTTGTAAATTTGGCAAGCTGAATGCATTCTGTACTGTACAGTAGACACAACATGGAGAAGATAGATTGACAATGGTCTACAGCCAGTCAGGACACAGAACACAATGCGCTGTAGGAAAAAGTATGTCAACCTGAATGAAAAAAGTCAGCGAAACTGTAAGACCACGAAAAGTGAACCGCATTATAGCGAGGAACCACTGTAATGTTAATAATATGCATAAAGCAGTGTTAAAATGGAAATAGAAAGTTCTAAGTAGAAACTAAATAGAAAGTCACCTTTTTTCAATCAAATAGATAAAAATATTCTCATTATTGTAAATGATATGGACAATGAATAGCATTCCTGAAAGAAATTTAATGTTACATAGCATTCATTTAAAAAATTTCCTTCTGCTTAGTCCCTTTATTCATCAGGGGTCGCCACAGTGGAATAAACCGCCAAACACTGTCCAGCAAATGTTTTACACAGTAAATGCCCTTCCAGCTGCAATCCGGTACTGCGAAGCACTCATATACTCTCGCATTCTCACACATTCACTATGGCCATTTTAGTTTATTCTCCTATAGCTCATGTCTTTAGACTGTGGAGGAAACCGGAGCACCTGGAGGAAACTTACACAAACACAAGGAGAACATGAAACTCCACACAGAAATGCCAACTGACTGAGCCGGGATTCGAACCAGTGATCTTAGTGCTGCGAGATGTTTCGTGTTGTGTTACATGGCATATAATTTACAATTAAACAATTTTTGCCATTTTAAATGTAGTTTTTAAAAATATATCTGTTTTTATGTTTTCATCAACCATTAGACCTACAGATTTTCGTTTTCTTAGTAGGGAACACATTGTTCATACATTAAGCTATTGACTTCCTCCCACATTTAAAATGCTGATACAGCAATATGTAAAAACATCATCTATTCTTTGAAATCTGCTATAAAAGCAACAAATAACAAACAGTTTTCTAAATGTCTTCATTCCATATTAAACATAACAATGCATGCAAAGCTTATCGTGATTACTGGATGGCAGTAAATTTTGTTTATGCATCAATACAGCAAAGATTACGATTGTGCGACAAGTATTCATATCAGTATTGATTAAAATCTTGAAATCAGTTTTGTCAACTCAGCTCAACAGACTAAGCAGCTGACACTTCTAACTGCTGGTGGTACTCTTTATTGTCTATGCAAAATGCTGTAGAATCTGAACAGTCAAAATATGTCATTAGAGAAGCTCTGATTAAACATCACTGTTTCGCTCAATGGTTTTAGACCTTCAAATCTCAAAATGGCTGTTTTTCATGCATTGGTCTGGTCCAGCTCTAGAGCTTAAAAGCTCAAGACCATACTGTATATAAAGTATTCAGCATCAGACACACATTAGCTAATGACATAGCAACATGGAAAAGTTCTACCAGCTCCAGCGGAGAGATAGATGTGGTGATGATGATAGATGCCAGAGTGAATTGTAAATGAGTGAAAGCACAGAACACAAAGAAAATAATTCAATAAAGGCAAGTGATTGTCTCTTTTAAACTGATTTAGTCGACCTGTAATGGGTCTGCACACAGAAGAAAATCAAATTACACTTGTATGGACTCAAGGTGTATGTGTGTGTGTGTGTGCATGTGTGTGTGTGAATCCCCTCCTAAATACCTTCAAACAAGAAATGTAATCTGCCATTACTCTCTTGTCTGTCTTATGACCTAATATAACAATAGTGTCCTGTCAACACTTGTTCTCAATAATGTTCTCAATCCCATGGATGCTGTTATTTTTTCTTTCTTTGGAACACAGTCAATCTTCATGTTAAAGGTGAAAATACTTGTGATCAATTTTGTGCCCCCATGGCATTGAAGCACAAACTGACATTCTGTAGCAGAGCAAAAAACCTTTTTTCAAATACCTTTATAATCATGACTTGACACATGTCAAAATATGAATGCATGCTTATAACAACTGTCATTAAGTGTTCTTTGCTCAGTTCTGGCATTTTAAATCCAAAGGGGACATTGTTTAAGATGTCTTTATGAAAACTAGACATAAAATTACATCATAACCTGTCTTTGTCTTTCTCATCAGAATTGGACATTACCAAGACAACAAAACCTGCCATTGTGATAAAAACTTGACATCATCAAGACAACATAACTTGTTGTAAATCTGTCATAAACAATATTAGCTATGTTTTCATCCAAAATGTGAATTAAATGTGTGCGCAAAACTGGAATAGTGCATAAAAGACGTGCAAATAAAGCAGCGTTTCTACCGAGGAGTCAAAGAGCACAAAATTGTCATTTCCTGATTAACTGGCACCAAATATTAACAGTAAAAACAAAATTTGCTGCGGTAGGAGAAGCTGTGTCAATCTTTTCTTTATTTAATAAATGTTTTATGCCTAAGAAGACGATGCTGACATGCAATGAACGCGTGGTGGCATTTGAAGGCGTGATGCTGCGGTTACACTAGAGTTTGAGCGTTCAAAATTTGTATGGTGCTGTGAAAAGGAGCTGGATCAAACAAGATGATTAGACATTAAAAATAGTGAGCGATCGGTCCATATTTGAAATTTCTGTCCAGAGAGGTCATGTTTTGATCCTCGATTGGTCTCACGCAATCAAGTGATGCGATTTCGCAGGTCAAAGTTCACCAAGCTTGAACTTTGCACGGCAGTGAACTGTAAAACTTGTCGCATGATCCTGCGTTTCCGGTCTGATGCAATTGCGTGCGTATGAATGGAAGTCAATGGCAAAAATGTCCAGTGTGACCGCAACTTGAGACGTGGAGCACAGACAAGCTCTTGACAATTCTGGAGGTAATTAATAATATAAAAACAGTATGTCAAACCATCGGCTTGTTCCTGCTCTCTTAATCAGCGTTCTCCCTCGCCGGTCACCTCTCACCACACCCGTGAACAATCACCAGCATACTAATTACCCAAAACTGCACCAGCAAATATCCACCTCATTCACTCACTCATCGGCCGGTATCAAATTTGGATGGTTCACCACATTTTCTCTCCTTCTTCCACTCATCTTCTCCCATGGATGTCTCCATTTCGCCTATAGACGCATGACTTCTGAATAAGGGAAGTGACTTAAGCTATTCTGGCGTTTACCTGAAGATCTGATGTTTACCTGATGAACTGTGTGTGAGATTGCTTACCCTTTAATGTTTCCCAGAACAAACAGTGTATGAGATCGCTCACTTTCAGATGTTTACATTATGAACTGTTACCGAGATCGCTACTAACTACAACACCACTGCCCTGCTTCATCACTCTGATTCAGCAACGTGGTTTTGAATAAAACCCTTAAAAGATAACCATGTTTGTCTTCCTTGTGTGTGACCGTTATATACTGAAATGGCTAATGCGTTTTAGAATGACAAATCAACATCTCAGATGTTTTACAATGTGCTCAGCCTTCTGGTTTGTCCAGTCACGTACATGTTGTCATCACATGATCTTTTATTACAAAATCACATGACTTTTGTAATGTGCAAACTGGAATTTTTTTTTTTTGTAAAAGTGTGTCCATCATAGTTTATGCGCATCGGATAAAAAGTCTATCCTACTCAGTTATGCGCATACCCTTTTTATGCGCATTTTCAAAACTGAATGTGCATCTTGGCGATTCCATCAACCAATTTTTTTTATGCGCATATCCAAAATGTGGACAAGAATAGGTGGATGGAAACATACTGTAGCTACTGTCCATTATAATTGTCATGAAGATTTTTTTTTTTCAGTGGAACAAACTTAATATGTTATTAAAACGTCACATTAAAAGTGTCAATATTTGTCCAAGAAATACAGTATATAACAGTGTCATTAATATTTAATAATATTTTACCATTTGATCATATTTAATTTAAAAAAAAATATTAATGAGACTGTTATAATATTCATGACACAAATATAAAGGCCTCATGGCAGTAATGTTTATGACAGATTTATGACGTGAAATCATATTGTTAAGTTGCCAAGACAAAGACAGGTTTTGTATTTGCTTTTGTCAAGTTATCATAACAAAGGCATCTCAAACAATGTCACCTTAGCTCTTAAAATGACATGGATAAAATTTCATTCATATTTAAGACCTGTCATTGTTATAAAGGTTTTGACGGTATTATAAATGCTTTCTTAAAGTAAAGTGTTGCCAAAGAGATAATTAAATTAAAGTTAACTAAATTAATTTGAAGATCCTACACAGAATATATCCGATCGATACTTTATTTTGTATGCCATATGCACCAGATATTCAGATTTCATCCATGGATGTGATGATTAATGTTGTGTTTAGCTTTCAAATGATTTGTGATTGTCACAGGTATCAAAGTCATCTAAAGTTCGTGTACATTTCCAAATTTTTACAAATCTTTACGATATAAAAATGTTAAAAGCTACACAGTTTTGCCCAACAATTAATAAGATTCTTGTATGTACTGTATGTGTGTGTGTGTGTGTGTGTGTGTGTGTGTGTGTGTGTGTGTGTGTGTGTGTGTGTGTGTGTGTGTGTGCTTGTGTGTGTGTTTGTGTGAATAAGT